GTGTTCTCAAGATTTTGGAGAACTTGAATGTGAACAAATCTGCCGGCAGCGACGGTCTACATCCGGTCCTCATCAGGCCACTGGCTCAAGTGTTCGCCCCCGCGATAACCGCACTCTATCAGGAGTCCCTTAGGGCTGAAAGAGTACCTAGTGATTGGGTGACAGCCACAGTAGTAGCCATCCACAAGGGTGAAGATAGGAAGCAACCTGGGAACTACAGACCAGTAAGTTTGACCAGCGTGCTGTGTAAGGGCTTGGAAACCATTGTTAGGAATGCTCTCTGTGAGCACGTCTCTCAACATAAGTTGATTGGCCCTGCCCAGCACGGCTTTTTCAAAAAGAGGTCGTGTCTGAGCAACCTTCTTTGTTTGTTAGACGAAGTTACAAGGAAGTTGGATGGACGTCAGAAAGTCCAAGTGTGCGAAAGCTTTCGACTCGGTAAATCACCGACTCCTACTAATGAAGCTCAGGGGTTTTGGTCTTCAAATAGCTCTAATTAGATGGATAGAAGCTTTCCTCACCAACCGGATCAATAGAGTTCGAGTGTGAGAAGCTCTGTCAGACGTCGGCAACGTATCCAGCGGAGTGCCTCAGGGCTCAGTGCTAGGCCCGATGCTCTTCCTGCTGTTTATAAATGACTTCGTCCAGGAACTAGCGGTTCCTGCCTTCATTTTTGCCGACGACGTCAAGCTAGTGAACTTAGGGCCGGTAGATCAACTGGAAGCTGATCTGGCTAAGGCTGTCCAGTGGACAATGAAGTGGGACTTGGAGCTAAACGCTACCAAGTGTCATGTTCTAAATACCGTAGGTCTTCCAGTTCGAGTGGCTACGACCACGGAACCGACGGTCTTTGCTCGCGTAAACCGAACGCTGGACCTAGGAATTATGGTCCGCGAGGACTATAAGCCTATTGATCAATGCCGCCGCATAAAAAGCGAGAGAGGAATTGTTCTAGCTCAAGGCGGCCCTTTCGTCAAGAAAGGCTGAGGTTTTCCTGCCTCTATATAAGGCCATAGTTAGGCCGCAGTTGGAATACTGCGTGCAGGCTTGGTCTCCCCACTTGAAGAAGATATAAATTGCCTCGAGACGGTGCAACGGTTAGCTACTAGAATGATCGCGGAAATGAGGGGTAAGTTATATAAGGAGAGGTTAGAATCTTTGGGGCTTTTCTCCATGGAGAGGAGACGCCTGAGAGGCGACATGATTGAAACCTTCAAAATAATGAAGGAACTGACTGGGCTAGAAGCCGAAAGCCTGTTTACCCGAGCACCGCTCGAGTCAACCAGGGGGCATCATTTGAAGTTAATGAAGCCCAGGAGCCGACTTAACCTTAGGTATAACTTCTTCACGAGTAGAGTGATAGATGAGTGGAATCAGCTACCATCTTCACTAAGACTGTAGGACAGTCGACGAGTTCAAAAGGCAACTAGATGGAGTCCGGATGACCCTGTCTCCAGAGATCTTGTAGGGTACCTGCTATTGAAGGTAGGTGTCTATGCTGCCCTTTTTCAAATAACCTCCCTTTGCAGGTACGAACGCGCCAGGGGAGACAGTTCGAAACGAAGAAATCGGCTGTGGTCAAACGGTCGACAAGAAGTCGAACCTCCGGAAGACGTGTTCCCGACTGGAGCAAGAATCTGGACGCTCGATGGGCGAAAGCCTTTACCGTCCTGTGCAACCTGACCTGGCAAGACCTGACCTGACCTGAGCTGGTATTTTCGCTGAGGCAATCAGATACAACCAGGATTGACCTCCTTCCACCAATTGCATCTAGTGATCACTCCGTTCTCCGTACACACTGGAGGCGTGGTTTACCACAAACAGACAGAAAACAGGACGGACGGAATGTGTGACGCTCATCCTTTCCGGAAATGCGTCAGGCTGCATCGTTCACAAATTGGGATTCTCGGAACCCTGAAGATTTCGATGTATTCTGAGAGTTGGTTCGTCAGAGAATCCAGCAACTTGTACTGTAATTTGTTAATGATTGTAGGAGTAGTAACTGAAAGTTACGCACAGAATTCGGACACGAACTACGCAATAGGAATCACGGAACACGAATTAGAGAACCGATGGCACTGGACCTCAATGGCTCGAACTCGCAATAACCCGTAGGATCGAGACGCGAGGAAAAAGGCCACGAGACAGGCGAATCACAAAGTCGTTTACTGAAAAAAATAAAAGTGAATATATATGTACACAAGAAAAGATCATTGGCTACCTTAGTTTCCACC